ATTAGAACCTTAATGTAAGCTATTAGAGATATGATAATATCCTTATATTCCCCACAAAAGTAATTAAGTAAGCAGTTTTGTTTATTTATTTTCTAGTTTCTGTTATTTTAAAACCGGTTATATATTCTTCGATTCATATCTTCAGAAGAAACTAATTGAATCTTTTATGTATAATCAGATACTACAATCTGAAAAACTACGAACCTTAGATTCTTACGGTTCAGCAGTTATTTCCGGAAAAGATATCAGCGGTTTGATTGGAAAAGACATTATGGAAGATATCAAAGAGAAGAAGGAAGTGAAGTTCGTATCGCGGTTTTTTCTTACGGATTGCAGGGAAAAGACGACAGGAACAATGAGCTATGCGTGCCCTGAAGCGTCCTTGCGGTTCGAACCAGGATCCGAGATGAATGCGATTGTCTTTGGGAAGCACCCAAGCTGCATCAATATTTAGCTAAATCCACACGTTATAATAATAACTAGTTCATTGTTTTTGTTTTTTATTCTCTTGTTTCTCTCACCAGTTCACTATTAAGTCTGGAAATATTTGAGTTTTATTAGTTTTTCTATACGGAATAAGAATAAAAACATTTGAGTTTAATTAGTTTTTCGTTACGGAATAAGAACATCGATAAGAATGTAAAGAACCGAGTATCTTCTCTTCGAGCCATTGTCTCTGAGCTTGATGGAGGCTTGGTGCTTGGTTCGAGGCCCCGAGATTCTTCTTGAAAAGATCAGATATAAGACAATTTTTGTTTCAACTAGTATATCTCTCTATCCATCAAATTCCATGTCAAAGTCAACATCCTTCACAAATCACAAGTTTGACATGGAATTTGATGGATAGAGAGAAAGGAACTTGAAACATGGCAAAGAATGATCCATTGATTCTTGTTACAAATTTTTTTTTTTTGATGTGTATAGAATAAATCGTTGTTGCAAATTGAAAGAAAGGATGTGTCTTTTTGTCACAGATGGTGATTATGTTATGAAATTATGGCTTGAACTTAATTAATGATTGGTGTTAGGTCTCTTTGACC